GGGAGCCGGGCCAGGCGCAGCGAACGCACATCAAGACGGAGCAGCTGAGCCCCAGCCACTACAGCGAGCAGCAGCCGGCGCCCGCGCAGCAGATCGCCTACAGCCCCTTCAGCCTCCCGCACTACAGCCCCTCCTACCCGCCCATCACGCGCTCGCAGTACGACTACGCCGAGCACCAGAACTCGGGCTCCTACTACAGCCACGCGGCCGGCCAGGGCTCGGGCCTCTACTCCACCTTCACCTACATGAACCCGGCGCAGCGGCCCATGTACACGCCCATCGCCGACACCTCCGGGGTCCCCTCCATCCCGCAGACGCACAGCCCGCAGCACTGGGAACAGCCCGTCTACACACAGCTCACCAGACCCTGAGGAGCCCGGCGCGGGGGCGCGGCGATCGTGAAAATAACCGAAGAAAGAAAGAAAGAAAGAAAAGAGGAAAAAACCAACCAGAATTCCCATTGGACTTTTTTTTTTTTTTTTTTTTTTTTTTCTTTCGTGATCCCCATAACGACGTTTAAGCTAAAGGCAACTCGTACCCAGATTCCAAGGCAGAGACATGAGCCACCCAGACGCGCCACCACCTTGCTGCGCGCGGCGGGCCCGACGGACCGGCGGAGTGTCCCCGAGAGACTGGACTTGGCAACTCCAGAGCGAGCCCAGAGCGCGAGGAGAATCGTGGGACCCGTTCGCTCAACCTCTCCGCCTGTTTGGACTTTGTAATTATTTTTTAGCAGTAATTAAAGAAAAAAAAGTCCTCTGTGAGGAATATTCTCTATTTTAAATATTTTTAGTATGTACTGTGTATGATTCATTACCATTTTGAGGGGATTTATACATATTTTTAGATAAAAAATTAAATGCTCTTATTTTTTTTTCCAACAGCTAAACTACTTAGTTGAACAGCGTGCCCTAGCTTTTCTTGCAACCAGAGTATTTTTGTACAGATTTGCTTTCTCTTACAAAAGGAAAAAAAAAAAAAAAGTGTGTTGTTGTATTAACAAGAAGAAAAAAAAACAACCCACAGATTTGTGTTATGAGTTTTGGGGAGTTAGCTTTGCTTAATGCCTCAGGCTTTCTGATTCAAGGAGCTGCCTTAGAAAAATAAAGGCCTTATTTTGCAAGTATGGACCTACACACGTTAGTCTAGAGAAGCATATGGTAAGCTTTATCACATATATATTTTTTAAACAAGAGCAAAACACCTTGAGCCTTAAAAACCATGCTGCTGAAAAATACTTGCGCTCTCCCTTAGTGCATTTATTTCCCCCTGCCTTTGCTCGTTCATTGACATCTTAAGCGAGAAGCAAAAGGCGAGGAGAGGAAATGTGATTTGGGGATGGTTCAGCAGCCAGTCAGTGCCCCCCCCAGCACACTGCCCCCTGGTTGCCTGGCCGGCCCCATGTGGAACACAGATGCTCCAGTCCTCCCACAGTCACCTGTGCCTCTCTGAACACCAGCAGTTTAACCTTCAAGACATTCCACGTGCTCAAATTATTTATTTTGTAAGGAGAGGTTTTAATTAAAAAAAAAAAAAAAAAAAAGAATTTCCTTTTTTTTTTTATTTTGAAAACTTAACCTTCTTTAAAATAGGTTGTTGGAGCCTTCCTCAAAGGGTATGGTCATCTGTTGTTAAATTATGTTCTTAACTGTAACCAGTTTTTTTTTTATTTATCTCTTTAATCTTTTTTTTTTTTATTATTAAAAGCAAGTTTCTTTGGATGCCTTGTCCTAGATTTGTATAAATGCCTTTTCGTCCGTCCTTCTATTTTTTTTCTTCGTTGTTTTTGTTGAAAACAAACTGGAAACTTGTTTCTCTTTTTTGTACAAATGAGAGGTTTCAAATGTAGTGTATCACTGAGTCCTGCAGTGTTTTCTGCCACAGACCCCCGGGCTGCCCACGCCGTGTGCGCGTCGTGACACAGGACGGTGCGAGCCTGTGTCCTGGATTTCCCCCTGCATGTTCTCTTGGAGCGAGGGAGGAAAGGGGGAGGGGCGGGCCCGCCGACAGACCTTAATTCTTAATTACTTCTGTGGCTGGAGAGTTTGAGGATTGCTTTTTAAAAAAGACAGCAAACTTTACTTTTTTATTTAAAAAAAAAAAGATATATTAACAGTTTTAGAAGTCAGTAGAATAAAATCGTAAAGCACTCTTATAATATGGCATCTTTCAATTTCTGTATAAAAGCAGATCTTTTAAAAAAAAATATTTCTGTAACTTAAAAAACCTGGCATTTAAATCATATTTTGTCTTTAGGTAAGGTTTGGTTTGTGTTTGTGTTTTGTTTGTTTTCCTGTCCCTGCCCCCCACCCCCATACTTTTGTTCTCTCTGTGAAACTTACCTTTCCTTCTTTTTCTTTCTTTTTTTTTTTTTTGTATATTATTGTTTACAATAAATATACATTGCATTAAAGAGAACACTGCCCTATGGACTTATTCAGCCCTTTCTCTCGTCGGAAGAATCGGGGCACAGAGGAGATGGTCCCTTGCTGACCTGATCACTGCGAGGTTTTTGGTTTCTATGTGCACTTTGGGCGACCCGAAAACCGGCCCTGGGAAGACTGTGTCCTCAAACATCTATACAGAAAAATCGTGTCAAGTGCCACCCCACTCGGGCACAAAGAGAATTACATGTCAGTAGTTGGCCGCCGGGGAAAATGTTTGTTGTGGTTCAGGGCAGAAGCTGTTCCCTTTGGAAGTCAGGAGGGAATATTAAACCTGAAGCCAGGAGCTTGTCAGAAGACAGATGCCAGAGGGGGTGACTTGCTCGTCTGAATTCAGTAGAGTCAGCTTTCTGTTATTACGAACACATCCCCTGAAACGGGGTGTCCGCTTAAAAGGCAAAGGAAGCCGAAGTAGAACAGAGTGTCAGAAGGGGACCACGGGGAAGTCTGTCCCATGGACCCACTAAATAATCCCGAGTTTATCTGCGGGGGCCACGGAAGGAGGTGATTTTTCTGTTCCCTCCAGTTTAACTCCTTCTGAGAAGATGCAAAGCCATCTCAGAAGTAATAAGACCTAATCCTGTTTTCCTTGGCCCCGGTTAGATGGGAGTTTCCAGGATCAGAGAAACGCTCAGGTCATTTTTCATTAAACAGATGAAATCACTCCTTCCCTCCCACCCCCACGCCGAGAC